GCAAAGGAGGGGATTTTTTACTATTTGCTATTGCATTAGTAGAAATTGTCAAAGTCTCTGAGAGTGTTCAACTCAAGTGATATTTCAGCTATGCCATGTTCATGCAATAAGATATTATCAAGGGAGCAGAGGAGACACCCCTGTGGAGTGTACTGAGAAGGGCAGGATTGGTAAGCTCCCATGATTGGGGAGGGGTAAGTAGTAGGGGTTCCCAGAGAGATAGAGAGAATCAAGGGAATAAAGCATTCCTTAATTTGCCTTTGGTCTTTATGAGAAGGTCTGCTCACAACATGAGCAGGATATTTGAGAGAGGAGAACCACTACTACCTATTTAAATTGCTCTGGGGTTGTTTGGAAGGTCAGAAATGGTGAGAGGCAAAGAACTCCTTAGAAGGGTATTTTCTTGACAGTTCGAAGAGGGCTGTAATCAGTGAAGGGGTTTGGGCTAAGAGAACCTGCACAGGTTGCCAGCCTAAAGGCTGTAAACAGAGAGAGGGATGAAAGTGAAAGTAAAAGAAAGCTTGGACATACGTGGTTTTTGGCCATCCCTGAATCAGTTGGCAGAAATTGTCAAGATCTCAAAGGGTATTGAAATCAAAGGTTCTATTCTCAGGCCATGGAGTGTCATTATTTAGCTGGTAATGTGGCCATGCTCGGTTACAGTAAAAGATCAGTCTCTTGGAGCAGAGGTCCTCAGCCAGGCCCAAGTTTGAAAGATTCAAAATGAGGCAGCCCAAGGGACTGTCCCTTGGGGGCTTAGACATCTGGCTACCCATGGTGTCCAGGTCCGTGGGTGAGGGCAGCCAAGATTCAGAACATCCTCTGAAAGCCAGACACCTTAGATTCTGTGAAAGATAAAAATATGGCATGGTACATTCCCTATTGTGATCAATAAATAGCCCAGAAGACGCATCTGGCACTTGGGTGGGCTCGTGACACAGATCTGCAATTTTCAGTGTATGTGTAGACAGGAGTCCAGTAACAGACATGAATCCAAAGGGAGTTAAAAATGCCTGGAGGCAAAATGCCTGGGGACTTTTCTGAACAGTGCCTGGGAAATTGTATGAGCAAATGGGCCTTTCTGAGGGAGAGAGAGAAGTCAGGAAAGGAGTCTGAGAGTGAAGAGAAAGAGGAAGGGGAAAAGGCAGATGTTAGAAGAAAAATAAAGGCAGAGAGTTTTTTATGGGAGGAGGTGCCAGATAACTTCCAGCAAGGACTCTTCCAGAATAGAGGTAGAAGTGGATAGGAAGAATGAGGAGATTAGGGGAAATGGACACTACTGACCACCAGAGATAAACACAAAATGGAAAGAAATAGACAACAGAGGATCTATCCCCTTAGTCCATGCAGGCATCACTCCAACCATGCTCCATGCAGGGTAAAAGTGTGTCTTAGCAAAAAAGTGTGCCTATATCAAGCCCAAGACCAGTTAGGGTCCCCAGAAGATGCCCAAAATTGCCACTAAGACATATGACAACACCACAGAACCGCAGGTGGGTACCCAATTAAACTCCTTGGCTTCAGAGTAGCGTCATCTGTGGAACCTCTTCACAAACACTTAAAGGATTCAGTCAGCAGACATACAGAACAGGAGAGGAAGGAAAGGGGTGTTATGTTACCGTTTGAGGTCTTGACACTGCACAGGCTCATAGGTTCAAGAGAAAGTACTCGCCCTGAAGAAGGATGGGGGAGCAGCACACCTTAACTCATCTCCTGGGTTTTGTACATCAGATTTTAGGTCATAGACTCAAGAGAAAGAAACCAGAGAGAAAGAAAGCAAGCTTAAAGGCAGCTTTATTAAGGGAACTCCTGTCTGAGGTTCCTTGGTCTGGAGAGAGAGATAGATCAGGGAAGCTGCACCCAAGGTGGATTAGAGCAGGTTTTTATAGCAGGGTCTTCAGGGAGGGAAGGGAAAGACTTTCTATTGTGGTTTATAGTTCAGCCATGTGGACGAGTAATTTATTCCTTTTGTTAATGTGTTATACTCTCTGAATTCTTTATTCTTCCCCTTGGCCTTGGTCTGGGCCTAACATGATCCACCTTGACCTGATTTTTGTGTATGGTGTGAGATGGGGATCCTGTTTCAGCTTTCTGCAAGTAGCAGTCCAGTTTTTTTGAGCACCATTTGTTGAAGAGGTTGTCATTTCCCCACTTGATAAGTTTTATTTTCTTATAGAATATAAGTTGACTGTAGATAGATGGGTCCATTTCTGGGTTCTAATTCTGTTCCATCAGTCTATGTGCCTATCATTGTACCAGTACCATGCTGTTTTGGTTACTACTGCTGTGTAGTAGGTTTTGAGGTCAGGAGGTGCTGTCTTCCACTTCATTTTTTTTAAGAAGTACTTTGCTTATTCAGTCTCTTTCCCTTCCAAATAAATGTCACAATTTCCCTTTCAATCTCCTTGCAAAATGAATTTGCTATCTGTATTGGAATTGCATTTGATTTGTAGATTACTTTTGGGAGGATTGTCATTTTCATAGTATTGAATCGACCTATTCATGAAAAGGGAACATCTTTCCATTGATTTAGGTCTTTTATTGTGTCATGCAAAAATGTCCTGTAGTTTTCTTTGTACAGGTCTTTGGTGTCTCTCGTTAAATTCATTCCAAGTATTTCAATTTGTGGTTGGCTACACAGGATGGGATCTGAGAGCTCTCTCTAATCTCCTTGATCAGGTAACACCTTTCTTGAGAAGGACATTGGCTACCTTAATCTCATCTTTCAGGAAAGGATATCTTCAGTCTCAAATTTCATTTGGGTCCTTGGGCTAACACCACAGTATCAAATCTAGAAGAAATGACCTTGGAATTATCACATTGTGTCAGCAATATAAACAAAGGTGAGTCATAAAACTTAGCAGAAGCTCTGTGATCAGGATCTTCCCTCAGTACTGCCTCAGGCAAAAATCTTTCTCTGATTCTTCTGTTAATATGCTGTTCTGAGGTAACCTGGGGTTGCTGTGATGCTGAACCTTGTGCCACTGGGGAGTCAGACACCATAACAGCTACTCATGGTGGGCAGTGTATGGTGGAACTCCCAGTTCAAGTCAAACTTGGAAGCAGAAGTAGCGTCCACTTCCTAAACAGTATGCCTCCAGAAACTCTATGAACTTTGATAAATGCTGATAATTATAGAAAGGCTTAGACCTTTTGTTTATAGGGTTGCAAAGGCTATAAACAACAACAACATTGTAAATGGTATTGCATTCTTGGTTTCCTTCTCTGAATTCTCTTTGTTACTGTAGAGGAATCTTGCTGATTTTTGGATGTTTATCTTGTATTCTGCCACTCTACAAAATTAATCTACTAGCTCTACTGGTTTTTTGATTGAGTCCTTGGGGTTTTCTGCTACATTATCATATCATCTGAATAGAGAGACAGTTTAACCATATCTTTCCTGATCAGGATGCCTTTTATTTCTTTCTCTTTTTGTATTGTCCTAGCAAGTACTTCCAATACAATATTGCAACAGTGCACATCTTTATCTGGTCCTTGTTCAAAAAGAAAATGCTTTTAGTCTTTGTCCATTGAGGATGATATTGACTCTTTGTTTTGCATAAATCCTTTTTACTATGTTGAAGAAATTCCCTTCTATTCCAGTTTCGCTGAGTGTCTTAATCAGGAAGGGGTGTTGAATTTTGTCAATGCCTTTACTGCATCAAATGCTAAGATCATATTGTTCTTGTTATTTGTTTTGTTAATGTGGTAAATTACATTGATTGTTTTTCTTATGTTGAACCATCCTTGTAAATCTCTTATGAATCCCACTTGGTCAGGATGAATTTATTTTTTTTAAATGTGCTTTTGGATTCTATTAGCTAGGATTTTGTTAAGGATTTTTGTATCTATGTTCATGAAAGATATTGATCTGTAGTTTCCTTTTTTTGGTAATATCTTTGCCTGGTTTTGGTATTAAGGTTATGCTTGCTTCATAGAATGTCTCTGGGAGTATTCCTTCTTTTTCTGTATTTTGAAATAACTTAAGTAGATTTGGTGATAAATCTTCTCTAAATGTTTGGTAGAATTCAGCTGTGAAGCCATCTGGCCCAGGACTTTTTTTAAGGGGGAGTCTTTTTGCAACCTGCTTAATTTCTTATTTTGTGATGAGTCTGTTTAAGTGTTCTCTATATGACCATGTCAATCTGGGTAGGGCATGAGTTTCAAGGAATTTGTCCATTTCCTCTACATTTTCAAATTTATCTGTGTATGGCTTTTCTAAATAGTCTGACATTATCTATTTCATTTCCTCTTGTTCTGTTGTGATGTTACCTCTGTCATTCCTTAACTGAGTTGGTTTTTTTTCTCCTTTTTTTTCTTTTGTTAAGGTTGCCAATAGTTTGTCAATTTTATTGACCCTTTCAGAAAACCAGCTCCTGGTCTTATTGATAATTTCAATTGTTTTTCTCTTTTCTATCTCATTTATTTCAGCTCTTATCTTTATAATTAGAAAGAAGTCTTTTACCAAATCATGGAAACAGTGTTTTCTGTCTCACCAGTCATTTCACAAACATTTATTTTAGTCATGAAGTCAAGTGTTTTTAATGGATGAGACAATTTATTAAATCTTAGTGGAAAACCAAACCTTATTTAGCATACCTGCCATCAGTATCTATGATCTATTTTTCCAGATAAACTCAGAACTCAATCTCTTTGTTACTTAGTTGGAACTGACTCATAGCTGGCCTTCCATTGGGTTTCCAAAGCTGTAAATCACACAGGAGACTGCCCAACTTTCTTATGCAGAGACTCTGGTGGACTCAGACCTTACAGAGGTGTAGCCTTTGGGTGGACAGCCTATCTACAGGCTACACTACCAGAATTCTTTCTTTTTCCAAATAGAGAATAAATACTTACTGAATTATTTCTATCACCAATGATGGTTTAGTGTTATCTTAATTCTTATCATGTGAAAGATTACAATCACACTGCTCAGTTAGACCTTAGTTGTGGAATACTGTGATTTATTTACCAGAAGCATCTTGTGTTTTCTCCTTCAGGCTTTGTCTTGTGGTTAGCAGGCATGGTGATGAACATCCATTCGGATTACATTCTAAGGAATCTCAGGAAACCAGGGGAGACTGGATACAAAATACCAAGGGGTACGTATAAAAGCTTGGACTTCATTTTCCAAAGGCATTGCATGATACTTTGCCTTTTTAGTGCTGCTCAAGCAAATAAGTAACAGTACAGGGTTTCTAAGTGGCCAATTTCTAGTGAGAGTCCTTATTATTCATAGCAGCTGATATTATTTTATTATTATTTTAAAATAAGACAAGAATCAGTTCTGGACCATTCCATAGTTCTTAGGGAGACAGGAAGCTCCAGTTATATGTTTCTTTGAGAAGAGAATGTGAGAAAGAATTTAGGGTTTGCAAGGATTAGCCAATGTCTGTATTTCTAGCAACATACTGTGACTTTTTTTGCAAATAACACATCTGTGTAAACAAAATGTACATGTTTATAATGCAAATAGCATGGTTGCCAAAAGTTTAATGCACATATTATTTGCATAAAAATACTATCAAGGAATAGATAACTTGACTGATTCTTCTTCTAAATAACATACTGGATGAAATACTCTTTAATTAATCTTTATAATTCTTGCTTTCAATAAAAGAGAAGTGACAATCAGAGGGAAAATCTAAGTGCATTCTATTAGCTGGAGAGCTTCTTTTAAGAATCTGCAAGAGGGATGTCATGCTTGGCAAGGTGCAGGGACAGCTCAAGAGAGGAAGACCCTCAATGAAATGGATTGATTAATTCAGTGAGTAGGGTAATGAGGTAGGTGTGTCAGAGAAAATAAAATTGGTAGGATAGTGAGGGTTTAGGGCTGTTGTACACAGGGTTGTTATGAGTTGCAGGTGAGTTGATGGTACATAACAACAGGAACCACCACCACTACCACTGGTTACCCCTCATGTTGCTGTATTAATGGTAAGCAACTGTGCTGCCAACCCAAAGGCATGTGCTTTGAATCTACCAGCCGCTCTGTGGGAGAAAGATGAGCAATCTCCTCCCAAGCGATTTACTGCCTCTGAAAACTTGCTGTAGTGTCATCTATGAGTTGGTTCCATTTCAGTAGTATACAACAACAACAACAACATGGCTCTTTTTAGTCTAAATTCAAACCCATGGATGGCATGAAAAAGCGCAAGTTGTAAACTAGATTCCTCGTGTCCCTAGGGTGACAAGTGCGTGGATACCTCGACTAAGAAAGCCCAGTTTCCCTAGAAGAACCTGCCTTCATCTAAAGCCTCGGAGAATCCCAACAGTTCAAATCCATGAAACAAGAAGCCTCTAGGACTCACAAGGAAGTACAACTTCATAAATCAGAGCATGCTGAAACTCTAAAGCTTCTAGATGCCAGAGTCAACAGACACAGAGTATAAAAGGAAGGCAGGCTTACCTTGTTTGATTGCCCTTCACTTTATTATCCTTCATGGTCATTATGTCTTTTTACAGATCGAAGGTCTGTGGCAACAGTGTTGAGCAAACCTATTCTCGCCATTTTCCCAACAGCAGTTGTTATGCCTTCTGTATCCTGTTTTGGTCATTCTTGCAGGATTCCAAACTTTGCCACACTGCTATTGCACACTGAATAGACTACAATACAGTGTCAACATAACTTTTATATGCTTTGGGACACCATAGAACTCACCTGACTCCTTGTATTGCAATAGTTACCTGAGTGCAGTGGTCTAGAACTGAATTCGCAATGTTTCTGAAGCAGGATGGACCATCTGCTTGCCAAATAACAGGCCTTTGAAAACCTTATGAACACTAAAGGAAGAGGATAGTTATAGTAGTGTAGTGGTAGAGCCCAGATTGGAAGTCAGTTGAAATGGGGAAAAATAATAACAAACATCATTTAATAATTGGAACATGGAATGAATGTAGCTTGAATGTTGGAAGACTAGAAGTTGTTAAAAATGAAATGGAACTCTTGAATGTCAACATACTAGGCATTAGTGAGATGAGCTGGACCATCAGATAATCCTATGGTATACTATGCTAAAGTGAAAAACAGAAGAATAATGGTGTTGCATTCATAGTAATAAAAGTTGATTTCAAGTTCTATCCTGAAAAACAGTGTTGTACGTGATAGAATAATTTCCATACACATACAAGGAAGACCCGTTAACATCTATTATTCAAATATGTGCCTTTACATCTAGAGCCAAAAAGCAACAAGTTGAGAATTTTTAGCAAATCTTGCAGTCCAAAATTTACCAAACATGCAATCAAGATGTATTAATGATAATTGGTGACTAGACTGCACAAGTAAGAAACAATGAAAAAAGAATGCTGTTGTTTGTGATTGACTCATAGTGACCCAAGACTTTCTATAACTATCATCATTTTTCAAAGTTAATACAGTTTCTAGAGGCACGCTGTTTAGCAATTGTTGTTATGTGCCATCGAGTTGCTTGTGACTCATAGCGACCCTATGTACAAGAGCCCTAAACACCGTTCTATCCTGTGCCAACCTCACCATCTCAAACACACTCATCCCCACCACTCCAGTCACAGAATCGATCTGTCTCATCAAAGGTCTTCCTCTCCTGTGCTGCCTCTCCACTCTGCTAAACATGATGTCCCTCTCCAAATACCAGTCCCTCCTTGCAACATTCCCAAAGTATGTCAGATGAAGCTTCGGAATCCTTGACTCCAAGGAGCATTCCAGCTTCACCTTCTCCAGGACAAACCTGTTTGTTCTCTTAGCAGTCCATGGTCTATTCAACACTCTTCTCCAGCACCACAGCTCAAAGGCATCACTTCTCTTTCTATCACCCCTATTCACTGTCCAGCTTCCCCATGCATAGCACACAATTGCGCAGACTATAGCCTGGATCAGGCACACCTTAGTCTCCAGCTTGATGTCGTTGCTCTTCAGTACTCTTGAGAGGTCCCTCACAGCTGACTTTCCCAATGCAATTCATCTCCTGATTTTCTGGCTGCTGTTACCAAGAGTGTTGACTGTGGAACCAAGTAAGTAATAATTTACAAAATCATTGCTCCTGTGTGCTGCATAGTATATAATCATTAAATTTTATACAATTATTCATATACATGTAGAATAACAGGGCAACTGAGGTGGAGCATTCAAGTATGGAAATACAAAGAAGAGGAACAGTTGTAAGCAGACACTAGTGATTGGGACATGGAATGTGAGAACCATGAATGTAGGAAAATTAGATATTGTTAAGGAAGAAATGGAACGCATAAATATTGACATATTAGGCATTGGTGAAATGAGATGTACTGGCATGGGGCATTTTGAGTCGGATGATATATGACATATTACTCTGGAGATGAAAAGGTGAGGAAAAATGGAGTTGCTTTCATAGTTAAAAAAAGTCATTGCTAGATCCATCTTGAAGTACAATATTGTCAGTGACAGGATAATATCCATATACATACAAGGAAGTCCCGTGAATACCACTGTCATTCAGATATATACCCCAACAACCAGAGCCAAGGAAGAGGATACAGAAGATTTTTATCAACTTTTACAATCAGAGCTCGATCGAACATGCAATCAAAATGCATTGATAATAATGGGTGACTGGAATGCAAAAGTTGGGAACAGAGAAGAAGATTCAGTAGTTGGAAAACATGAACTCAGGGACAGAAGTGGAGCTGGAGAGAGAATGATTGAATTTTGCACAATCAATGACTTATTTATAGCAAATATGTTTTTAAGAGACATAAACACATGGATTTCACCTGATGGTATGCATAGGAACCAGATTGATTTCTTTTGTGGAAAAAACCACTGGAGAAGCTCAATATCAGCTGTGAAGACTAGGCCAGGAGCTGATTGTGGAGCAGACCACCTACTACTCATATGCAAGTTCAAGCTGAAGTTGAGGAAAATTAAACCAAATCCAAGGCAACCAAAATGTGACTTTGAGTCTATCACACCTGAATTTCAGAACCATCTCAGGAACAGGTTTGAGGCCTTGAACACTAATGAACGAAGACCAGATGAGTTGTGGGAGGATATCAAGGGTATCATCCAGGAAGAGTGTCATCGAATAGTATTTGGAAAATATGGGTGTGATAATGAGGCTGGAAATAGAATGATTGAATTTTGCATTTTCAATGATTGATTTATTACAAATACTTTTTAAAATAAGATACAAACGTTGACCTTACACATGGATATCACCTGTTGGGCTGTATAGGAATTAGACTGAATACATTTGTGGAAGAAATCATTAGAGAAGTTCAATATCAGCAGTCAGACTAGGCCAGGGGTAGCTTGTGGGTCAGATCATCAAATACTCAGATGCAAGTTCAAATTGAGGCAGAAGAAAATGAAATTAAGTCCACAGAAACCAAGATATCATCTTGAATCAATTCCATCTGAATTTCAAGATCATCTTAAGAATAGGTTTGAGGCATTGAACACCAATTATCAAAAACCAGATGAGTTGGGGGATATTAGGATATCATTCATGAAGAGGGCATTGATCATGACAAAAGCAGAGGAGAATGAATAAAAGTTGAAATGGATGTCAGAAGAGGCATTGAGAAGCCAAAACAAAAGGAAAACATGTTGAAGTAAAAGAGCTGAATAGAAAATTTCAAAGGGCAGCTTGAGAAGACAAAGCAAAGTATTATAATGGAATGTACAGAGAGCTGGAATTAGAGAAATTGCTCTGCATTTCTCAAGCAGAAAGAACTGAAATATAAATTTAAGGCTTGTGTTACAATATTGAAAGATGCTACGGGCAATACACTGAATGACCCAGAAAGTATAAAAAAAAAAGGTAGGATACACAGAATTACTGTACCAGAAAGAATTGATTGGCACTGAAAAATTTCAGGAAGTATCATACGAACAGGAGCCAATGGTATTAAAAGAGGAAGTAGAAGATGCATTAAAGGCATTGGCAAAAAATAAGGCCCCAGGAATTGTTGAGATACCAGTTGACTTATTTCTATTAACAGATGCAGCCTTGGATGCACTCATCCATTTATGCCAGGGAATTTGGAGGACAATTTTCTGGCCAACAGATTATAAGAGGTCCTTATTTGTCACCATTCCCAAGAAAGGTGATCCAGCTGAGTGTGGAAACTATTGAACAATAGCATTAATATCATATGCAAGCAAAATACTGTTGAAGATCATTCAAAAACCACTAGAACAAAACATAGATAGGGAACAGCTAGACCTTCAAGCAGGATTTAGAAGAGGTCATGGCACCAGAGATATCATTGCTGATGTCGGATGGATCCTGGCTAAAAGCAAGGAATACCAGACGAATGTCTATTTGTGCTTTATTGACTTATGGAAAGGCATTTGGCTGTGTGGATCATAACAAGTTGTGGCTGACATTGAGAAGAATAGGAATCCCAGAGTACTTAATTGTGCTCATGCAGAACCTATACCTAGACCAACAGGCTGTTGTGTGAACAGAGCAGGGAAGTGCTACTTGGTTTAAAATTGAGAAGGGAGTGCGTCAGTATTATATTCTCTCTCCATTCTGTATGCTGAGCAAATTATCCAAGAAGCTGGACTCTGTTAAAGAAGAGTGTGACATTAGGATCAGAGGGAGACTCATCAAGAACCTTCATTGTTGATTATACAATCTTGCTTGCTAAAAGTGAAGACTTGAATAACTAGTTGCAGAAGATCAATGAATGCAGCTTTCAATATAGATTGCATCTCAATGTCAAGAAAACAAAGATTCTTATCAGTGGATCAATAGGCAACATCATGATGGATAGAGAGGAGACTGAAACTGTCTACAGCTTCATCTTGCTGGGATCCACAGTTAACATCATTGGTACCAGCAGTCAGGAAATAAGGAGACATATTGCACCGGGAAAATCTGCAATTAGGAACATCTCCAAATTATTGAGGAGTAATGATGTCAGTTTGAGGATTAAGGTCTGATTCAGGCCATGGTCTTTGCCATTACTTGCTATGCTCTGCATCTATCTTAGAGCTAGACAGTGAATATGGATGACAAAAAAAAAAGGATTGATGCCTTTGAGCTGTGGAGTTGGAGAGGAGCACTGAACATCCCATGGACGGCCAAGAGAATGAGCAGATATATTGTGAATCGGGTGCAGCCGAGCACTCTTTGGAGGCAGGAATGATGAGGCTTCACCTCACCTACTTTGGGCATGTTGCTAGGAGCTATTCATTAGAGAAGGACATGATGCTGGGAAGGGTAACGTGTTAGCAAAGGAGAGGAAGACCCTCAACCAGGTGGATTGACACAGTGACAGTGGGCTTGTGTGTCAGGAATTGTGAAGATCACACAGGATAGAATAGGGTTGAATCTTTTGTGCAGAGGGTCATTATGAGTCATACTCAACTTGACAGCACCTAACAACAACAACTGTACTTAAAATGCTTAAAAAATTAGGAAGGGATTGAAATGTTGAATAAAGGAATAAGATGCTATAAAATGACTAAGCACTTACTAAGCTGAGCCAAGAGAATTTCCAAACTTGTGAACCCAGGAAAGCTGAAAATTGAAGGATGCTGGTGTGTTCATAGCCAGAAACCATATGAAGAGAACAATAACACAACAAGCCAACAGGACCCCTACAACCACAGTTATACTGTCTGTGGTCCAGGGAACCCAGAACCTGTAGAACCCACCCCTGGAAGTCACTCCAGGACAATAGATATGGGGAAAAGGATTGGCAGAAGGGCAACCAGATGCCGTTCAGGCCCTGAGAGCATCATGGGAAGGGAATCATCCCAGACGCAGGGCAGGCAAACTGACCACACCATGAGTGCAGACTCCTTTTCTCTGGGGGAGACAGTCTCAAGTTGGGAGACACTGCTTGAAGACCCACACCTGGCTCCCTGGCATGGTGAACAATGCCATTCTTAAAGTCAGCAGGAGGCGTGGCTGGGTCTCTGCCTGGCAGAAGAAGGACAGAATAAGGCCCCAGGGAAGTTTGGAGAGTGAGAGCAGGTCACACAGGTGTCCTCCCAGAGGCAGCATCAGTGGGGCAGCTCCTCCTAAACCAGGCTGATGCAGGTTAGAGGGAAGGCTGAGAGGCTGCCTTGTCCTGAGCCACTCCCACAATCTCTACTTTAAGTCCACAGTTGCACCATCATGTCAGTCCATCTCCTAATGGGGTTTCCTTTCTTCCACTGACATTTTACTTTGTCAGCATGAGGTCCTTCTCCAAGGACTGGCCCTTCCTGATGACATGTCTGAAGTGTGTGAGAGAAAATTTCAACATCCCTGGGGCACTCTGGCTGCATTTCCTCTAAAGCAAATCTGATTGTTCTTCTAGAAGTCCATGGTATATTCAGCATGCTTCACAAACACTATAATTCAGAGGCATCAGTTCTACTTTGGGATGTCCTTATTCACTGTCCAGACTTTGCAGGCACTGGAGGCAAGTGAAAACACTCTGGTGCTACAGTTTGAGCTGTGTTCCACCAAAAAACATGCATAATGATATAATTCAGAAACTGTAATGGTCCAGCAGGGCAGGATTAGCCAGATAGCTGTAAAAGGATTAAGGTTGGATTATAGTGCCCCTTAATCCCATCCCAGTCCTGGTTGGATAAGGGGAGTTTTCACTAGAGATGAAAGGGAAGGGAAGGGAAGGAAAGGTATGAGAGGGAGGAACCACCAAGAAACAATCACTGGAAGTCGTCACTCGCCCACTGCTGTGGATTCCGGCTCATCGCTGCCCCTCTGCTGGGTCCCCAGGGCTGTAAGGGTTACTGGAGGACACAGCTCGTCTCTCTTAAGGAACAGCTGGGCAATTTAAATCACGAGAGAGTCTCCACCTTTGGGTTAACAGCACAGCTCACTGCAGACTCTACCCCCAAGATCTCCTATCAGGAATCAAATGTGCCCTTTGGGACCCCAGTGCCTGCAGAGCAAAGCCCCTTAATCCTGGGAAGACCAAGACACTTGGAAGTGTCCAGGGAACACAAAGCCAACAGAGACCAAGGGGAAATAAAAACTCTCCAACTGTTGGAGAGAGAGTGGGTCTTCCCCTACTGACCTTGGACCTCTTGCTTCCTAAATCCCAAGAGAAGAAACTTCTGTTTGTTAAAGGCATCCACTCGTGCTGTCTCCATGACAGCAGCACTAAAGCGCTAAGACCTATGGCTTAGTAGACGGTTGATGGAAGCTGTGACATGAACTAGGGAGCTGCCTAGTTCCTCTTGGTAACTTTTCTGGGCAGGGTGTTTATCTGTCGTTGAATTTTGTGCCCCGGCACCTCTGGAGTGAACATTCGGCTCCTCGTCTCTCCTAGGAGGCCTGTTTGAGTACGTGACGGCAGCCAACTACTTCGGGGAAATCGTGGAGTGGTTTGGCTACGCGATGGCCACCTGGTCTGTCCAAGGCGCTTCCTTCTCACTGTTCACCTTCTGTGTGCTCTCCTCCCGAGCACAGCAGCATCACCGGTAAGCTCTCCATCCTTGTTTCACATCTGCAGTCAGCGTTGAAACATCATTGTGGGAACCTTCTGCGCAGCTTTGACATCCATGTTAACTTCCGTTGCCAAATCTGTCTGTGCAGAATGTGAGATTGCCTAGCCTGCAGATGTCTGGGTTCCTTCCCCAGCCTCACCATTGGCTGAGGGACCTAGAGGGCTGACTGTGGAGGGGATGCAGAAGGAGGGGTGTGGTCAGCATGGCCAGCTTGTGCCTGTGGGGGAATGCTGCATGGGCCCTGAGAGAGGTGGCTTCATACTTCTGGGACTCTTGTGTGTCAGAGGATCCCCAGAAGTGTAGTGAGTTACATGTCGGGCTGCTCACCGAGGGGTTGGTAGTTCAAATCTCCAACTGCTCCATGGAAGAAAGATGAAACCATGTGCTCTGGGAACGAGATGAGAGTAGGTTTATTTGTTTGGGTTTGCTTTGTGCCAGCGAGGATAGACAGTGAAGATGTCCATTGAAGATGGATGGAGATTAGACAGATAGGATGTGGCCCCAGCACTGTCCTAGGAGTTAAGTCACTGAAAGGAACAGAACCAAAACCCAAACTCACAGCCATTCCAACTCAGAGCGACCTTATAAGACACTCTAAAAAGCTCCTTACTGGGAACTTTTCAAGACTGTAGGAGCTCTCATGTCCCAGTGTACTTCCAACCCAAAGAACACATGGTTCGAATCTACCAACTGCTCTGCAGGAGAAAGATGAGTGAAATGCCTTTGAAAACCCACTGGAGGGTCAGCGACGGGCTGGTTCCGACTTGATGGTACATAACAACAATTTTTCCAGAAGCAATCTCATTTGTCCTTCTTCCGAGGAACAACTGGTGTGTTTGAGCCATTCACGTTGAGGTGGGGGTTAAGTATTTTAACCACTGCATCACAGTCACACCCCAAGAGTTGTGGGGTGGTAGGTAGTGGTTTCCAGGTGATGGTGAGGTAGGGAGTTCACCCTCTGTTCTGTGGAGCCATCCATCAGACAGTACAGTTACGAAGGCCATGAGGGCCTTCCTCTGCCCCATGGAGTCATGAACTGGACCTCTCCCCCATTTCATGCTGGTTTTCAGTGAAATGCTCCTTCAGAAACTTACATGCTCTGCACAGGCTTAGTTGAAGTGATGCATTCATTGCATTACAGCTTTGTGTTATACACACCAGCAAGGTCCTAGAAAGTATCTGTCCAGCAACACTGCCAGAAGTCCTCTCCCCCTGGGTCCAGCACCCAGAACCCAAGGCAGAGGGGACAGAGGGACCAGGCCCAGATTCTGGGAAACAGGAGGCTGTTCTCTTTATTGACTATAGTCATAGAGCAAAATTTAGTTGACAATTTGAAACACAAAGATTTTCCCCCCTCTCAAATATGGTAATGCAGATTTTTTTTTCCCAAATGGAAGCTAGGCAATACAAAGCAGAATGTGCATAAATGGTTGAGTGGGGAGGCATTTTGTTCTGAAAAGGGCATAGATCAATGGGGATTAATTTAGAAAACATAATGTATGGGGATGATCATGTGAAACACAGTACGAATGAAAGAATGTGTGAAACAAAATGTATACAAATTTTGCATGCAAACCAGTATAAAATAATTTTTTTTAAAAAAAGAAGAAGTTTTGAAAATGAACTTTGGTGTGGAATTATCAGGTCAGCACAATATTAAAAAGAAGAAAATGCAATCAAATGCAGGCTCGGCAGGCATGCCCAGCTTGGGGGAGAGCTGTTTGCTTCCTCCTGTGCAGGCAGGCTGCTAGACCCTCCTCATCATGTTGGCATGGGGAACCTGTAGGGGTATTGTTTCATTTTCTGAATGCAGATTCGATTCCCCAAGACTCCTGGGTATCCATGCGAGGAGGATCCCTAGGTTAAAGGACTGTTTGTTGTTCACTGGTGTCACTGTCCTCAAGGTTGAGGAAATCCTCAATTTGAGTCCCTGAGTGTGTAGATTCAAGGAGGTGGAACTTCTGATGCTGAACCAGAGCAGTCGTTTTATTTTCTAATTGTGCCATGAGCACAACAAATTAAATTAAGACACATAGATTGATTCCAAAAGAAGGCAAGCCTTGGCTGGCATTGACTGACCATTGTTGTTGCTAGGTGTCTTCGAGTTGTCCCCCTCTCAGAGCAGCCCCTGTGTGCAAGAGAATGAAGTCCTGCTCACTTCTGCCTCTTCCTCACAATCTCTGCCTTGTTGCAATGCTGCAGTGACTCTTGTCAGTCCGTCTCATTGAGGGTCTTTCTTTAGCTTACCATCTGCTCTGCGAATCATGCTGTCTTTCTCTAGGGACTGGCCGCTGTTGATGACATGCCCAAAGTTAGCGATGTCTAGTCATCCTCAGTTCTCTGAAATGATATTTCATCATACTGAACTTTCTTTTACCTTAACAAGTGGATCCAAAATATTTCAGTTCCTGAGTGCTTATGTTGATAATGATGTAGCAAGATTGGCATTGGTAGGCCAGTTCAGCTCTTTGCAAACAAGCATGCTGTCTGAGGGGCAGACAAGAAAAGGGTTCTTTCCTGAAGAAGGCAATGCATTAAGGGACACGTTACAGCTTTTCCCTGGGAAGCGAAGGCCCAAGGACATGCATGTGCTTGTTTGTGCCCAGACACCAAGGCTGGCCACAAGGACAGGGTTAGAGGACTGCTTCAGCTAAAACAGATTTATTGCAACACTGGCTGTTTGTCACATTTAATGTCACTTAAGAAATCAAGTTATTAACCCATCTATCTATGGTCAACTAATACTTGAAAAGAAACAAAACTTATCAAATGAGGAAATGGCAACCTCTTCAACAAATGATGCTGGCAGAACTTGACTGCTACCTGCAGAAAGCTAAAGCATGATCCACGCCTCACACTGTTGTTGTTGTTGTTATGTGCCGTCGAGTCACCTGCGACTCATAGCGACCCTATGTACAACAGCCCTAAACTCCGCTCTGTCCTGTGCCAATCGCACTGTCTCCGACACTCCCACACTACATTAAAAAAAAAATTAACTAGATGGATCAGAGATATAAGGGTAAAGTCCAAAACCATAATGATCTTAAGAGACAAACTGGAACCAAATTTAGAAGGCCTAAGTTAGGGTATAAAGAGGCTGACAAATAGAGCCAGAAATACACAATCAGGGGAGGATAAAATTGAGGAATGGGTCATTCTAAAGATTAAATCTCTGTGCACATCAAAAACTTTTTCCACCAGGGTGAAAGAAAACCTACTGACTAGGAAAAAAAATTTGACAATAACATCTCAGACAAGGGTCTTATTATATAACAAAATTTACAAAATATTCCACAAGAAAAAGACTGATACCCCATTTACAAAACAGGCAAAAGGCATGGAAATACTTTTCACCAAGGAAAATATTTGAATGGCTAACAGACACATGAAGAAATGCTCAAAATCACTGTAAGAGAGATGCAAATCAAAATCACAATGAGATACCATCTCACCCCAGTAGCAGTGGCAAAGTTTAACAGGACAGAAAGCAATAAATGTTGGAGAAGTTGTGGAAAGATAGGAACTGTCATACACTATTGGGATTATAAAATGGTAAAACCACTCTGGAAGGCATTTTGGTGCTTCCTCAAAAAGCTGAACATAGAAATTCCATATAACCCAGCTATTCCACCGCTAGGAATATATCCTAAGGAAATTAGAACTGAGAACTGAGATACAGATGGAGATTTGCACACCAGTGTTCATAGTAGCCTTATTCATCATCGCAAGAACATGGAAACAGCCCAAATGTCCGACCACAATAAAATGTAATTGATGGAATATCATGCAGCACTCAAGAGCAATGACTGAAAAAAATACTACATAACTTGGAAGAGACTGGAGAGCATAGTGCTGAGTGAACTAACTCAGTCCCATACAAATACTGCATAAAACTATTCATATATAAATAGAAGGATGACTAGTAAAATGTGTATAGGAGTTCAAGGTAGGAAGGGGTTAGAGCAGAGGGGTGATGGTGGGTAGGGAGGAATCACAGGGTCACAGAGTTTGGTGGGTGGAGGGAAGGGGTAAAAGAAATGGAAAAGATTCACTGGGTTCTGGAAAGACGAGGTAATGGTGGGCATAGTTCAGTGATTATTAATTTTATAAAACACAATGAATGAGAATGATTGTATGAAACACAATGTGAATGAAGGATAATGTGAAATACAGTAGATTAATTTTGTATGCAAACCAATATAAAATAAAATAAAATTCTTTTAAAAAATGAATTCAGTATATCTTCAGGACACTATGCTTGACAGTGAAGTGACGGAGGGACATACTAGGGACCCATGGAATGTCTGGCTGCAATGTTCACTGTCTTGGCCCACCACCTATCACTTGGAGGATAGAGGCCTGCTCTGTGGCTGTAGAAAGAGAGATGAGCGGTTCAGTCACAGCTCCTCCAGAAAGACTGATAGTAAAGAAACACGGGGATGGCGCACCAATTGTCTCGCATGCTGTGGTCACATTATCAGGAAGGACAGACCCCGAACAAGGCCATCCAGCTTGGTAAAGCAGAGGGTCAAAGGAAGAGAGGAAGGCCCTCAATGAGCTGGATCAGCACAGGGGCTCCCACAAAGGGCTCCAGCCCAGCAGAGACGGTGAGGACAGCTCAGGATCAGGCAAGGCTTCCTTGTATTTTTCACGGGGCCGCTATGAGTCACAGCTGACTCCCCAGCACCCAACAACAGTGATGTTGGTGAAGAAGTCCTGCGTGGTGAAATGGGTAAACACACTTGCTGACCAGCTGGAAGGTGGGTGGTATGAAGCCACCTCTGGGGACCTGGGAGGACAGGTTTAGCACCTGCATCTAAAACGTCACAGCTTTGAACCCTTCGTGGCAGGAGCAGCTGCTCTTTGCCTGGATGGGACAACCAGCAGCAACAATGACATGTTCCTTGTGAACTTGAAGAACCTTATTTGCTTTGGAGAAAATTTTTAAAGTTATGGCTGAGAGGGTGCAAGGT